GCCCATGGAGCTTCAAAAGCTTGCAACAAGTATATTGTGCATTTTGGTTGGCCAATAAGGTATCACTGATGGATTTTTGTTTGAATTTGCTAAATGGTCAACACAGCTACCCCTGAATGTTTTCTCTATTGTGGGATACTGCATTGTAGCTGCAACAGGGAAACCAGGAAGAATATCCTGTTGACTGAGAACTTCAACCAAGGTAAAACATCTTCTTACATTTGGACTGAATTCACATGTTTTACCTGTACACCCACCAAAATATTCCTGATGCAAAAACATTGTTCTCTGCCACAAAGAGGCCTGTGACCTCACTGGAATTGAGACATTTTGGATTGCAAAAGGGGGGTCCCTGTTGAGATGCAAATGGATTTTAAATTTCCTGGACTTTGAAATATCCCTATTGCCATATGCCAGAAGGAGGAGGAACCTGCCTGATATCCTCCCCACCATATACCATCTTAACTAAAGACTGAAACAACCTGTAGGCATCTGACTAATATCTCCAATTGTTTTTTTCTTGTTTGGCTTGTAACATCTTGCCTGATGAAGAAGCCCATGGAGCTTTGAAAGCTTGCAACAAGTATATTGTTAATTTTGGTTAGCCAATTAACGTATCACTGATGGATCCTGGTCTCCAGAGTCAGACTGCAATGCTCAGATCACTATCACACTGGCTGTTGTACCATCCTCATACACAAGTCCATAACTGTGATAGTGTGAAAGTGAGCTGTCAGTTGAGAGACCTCCATATTACATCAATTGTCTCTATTTCACATCAGTGTCAGCTAATAACCGCCTTCTCCCACACATGTTGGCTGAACCAGTTAACTTGGCCACACGGCTGGAGGTCTCAATGAGCTGTTTTAGCCAACCAATTCATTGGACTTGTTTGCCTTATTTTTCTCTGCTGCTGAGATATATTTTTTGTTTGATGTGCTGGATGAGTTGGACAGCAAGTTAATTTTTTTGGTCAGCAACTCAGTGGCAGGGACTCTGGGAGGTGTAAATTTCCCGAATCATGGTGGATGGAGCAGTCTTAATGGGCCCTTTTCTTTAATAACTCCCATATTTATATGAATATTAGTCTTAAAATATTGGCTGGGGTTCTGGGCATTGTACACCAAAAGAAGTAACCTCCCTGAGTTGTTTCTGCTCTTTTGCAAAAGGCTTTCCAAGAAAGTTGTTTGAGAACTGCTTCATTAATTCCAGTATTTCAGAGGGCTAGTAGCAGATGTTTGTTTTAACCTAAAATAGCAAAATATATAGAGGGACAGTGTGGGAAAGGAAGAGAGCTGATTTAGACAAATCTTCTGGGCAAAAAGATCACCTTTTGTGCCTGGGTATTTGTAGTCCTGTGTGTGGAGAATGCATCAGAACAAGGTGTAAATTTCCCATATTTATCTCAATAGGATGTTAATGGTAAGAGCTAGTTGTCACAATTTAAATGCTAATGTTCCTAAGAGTGGTTCATCTTGAGTCACTGGAATGTGGCTGTAAATCATCCAGAGATCAAGACTTCCCTGTGAACTTCTGAAACTGATAAATGCAAATGCTAAGAGTGCGTATGGTGGTGATATTCTACTTCTGGTTCTTGGAATATTTCAGATTTCAGAATTCCAAATAAGGGAGATTCAACCTGTGTAAGCTATTTGACTGGAGTAATCCTTGTGAACCAGTATTAAACACATATTTTTAACTGTATTAATAAGTTATCTGACTAATAAAGGAGCTTGTGGCCTCACAAAGGATTGAGACACCCTGGATCTCATCTGAAGTCCCTTTTTGTTATGCTAATAGAATTTAAATATCCTGGACTTTAAAATGCTTTGTCTCCCGGTACCACATGGCAGGGAGAATGGCCTGCTTGCACACATATCCCTCAATACTCAGAACACCAACAACATCTTGACAAAATGCAGACCTGTGACTAACATTGTCAATTTTTTTCTCCTGTGTGATTTTTTAAAAGATATTTACCTGATGTAGAAGCCAATGGAGCTTTGAAAGCTTGTGACATGCATTTTGTGAGTGTGCTGTAGTGGTCTGAGTATTGGATTAGGACTCCAGGATGGCATGGTTCAAATCCCCATCTGGCCATAGAAATCTACTGGGTGACCTTGGACAAGTTACACTCTCTGAGCCACAAAGGAAGGCAAAGACAAATTTCTGAAGAAATGATGCCAAGAAAACCCCATGATAGGGTCACCATAAGTCAAAAACGACATGAAGGCACACAAAGACAACAAAGTCCTTGTGAAGCAAAACTGTTAGACTAAAGCTATACCTTTCATAATCTTCTTTATTGTTAATACTCCTCCAGAATGCCAGTACTGAATGAATTTTAATGTTTTTGTTTATTAGTATATTTCTATGTATGATCTGATGTAACTAGTATGATAGAATTGAAGAACTGGAAGGGACTGCAAGGGCCATATACTCCAATCCTCTGCCATGCAGTAATACACAACTAAAGCACACCTGAAAGATGCCCATCCAATTTCTGTATCAAGGTCTCCAAAGAGTGAGAGTATCAGCCTCAGAGGAAGTTGATTACTGTTGAACAACTCTCATAGTCAAGAAGTTGTTCCTAGTGATTGGGTGGAATCTCTTTTCTTGTAATATGGAGATAAAGTACTATATAAACACACAACTGTTTTGCAGCCCAAGGATATCTGGTACAAAAGTTTGTGGAATGATTGAGCTTTGGGTTTCAGTCCCAAATGTGATCATGTGTTGGACATACTGACTGACAAACTTAATGCATGAGAATGAGAGAGTCTGGTTCATTGGCTTTCATTGTCCAGAAATGCATGATGTAGACTGAATTCTTTCTTTCCAATCTTTGTCTGTGTTTGGGATGTGATGAGAAGAGGGCCAGTTTGTGTCCTATGAAGCACATAAAACTAGTTCTCAAGACTCTGTGCCATGGCTAGTGATGAAAAAACTTATTACACTAGTCATACATTTTAATTCTGAAATTCAGATCTGTTGGATTCTGTGTTTGTTAATCAATTGAGTACTAATAAGGTGGGGGTAGGGAGACTATCAGTTTGCTCTGTTAATAACAAAGATTCCTCTTCCAAAGCACCAAAGTTATAAGAAAGCTTTCTCTTCTTATAAGAAGGAGCTACCTCTGCCTTGGAGCTGATGGGGG